TTTTTCAGTTCTTGAAGCAGTAGCGATAAGATAAACGCGCAGAGATTAGGAGCACAGAATATGTATTAGCGGAAACCTAACGCAGCGGGAAATTCACAAGTTGTGTAGATATAGTCACCCTTGCCTATGCGTTCCAATAGAAGAGTAATTAAAGCGTACGAAGGATGTATTAACTTAATTACCCGACAGAATATCGATTATTAAGGCGCGAATTAAATAACCCATTAAATACTGAAAACCGGATTCATCTGTCGATTAGCACTAACTTTAAATGACTTGTCGTCATATTTTAATTTAATTGCGTCATTAATAATCGAAGCTCTCATTCGGTTTCTTGACTATTTTGATTGTTCTAATATATATATGTAAATTATTCCTAATATCGATACACTGAATACCACATTACTAAAAAATTATGAAAACCTTCAGAATTTTAACAGTGTACAGTAACAAATTTATGTTTATATTTCAATTTTCGTGATATTTAATATTTTGACATTCGATGTATCAATATATTCAACTTCTGTTCAGTGATTTGTAAAAATGCGTTTTGCAAGTGATACAAATAGTACTAAACTCGAAGTTTAATGAATCTTACGAGGACGTTGAACCTTATGGGTAAAAATATCGATTATGCGAATGAATGAAGTTGTTCAACTTACCCAATGATGGAATTGGTGGCCATAATGAAGTCAGTAGTGTGTGTATTCATCACATTTGCTTTGAAAAGCCTTGACTTTGTTTGAATGTTAAGGAACTTATCAGGACTAACGCGTAGCCGGTACACATCGCTGATACTCTGACCGACTTGAAGCGTATCGTTCAAATGTGCAGTTAGCTTACTGAGATCATGGGGGTGGCACAAGTCTTTTATTGTTGTGCCAATCAGGTCCTGAAACAAAGTGTTATTAAAATGGACACTGCTCTCAACTTTTAGACAGTCAATTATTCGAACGTGTATAACAAGAGCAAAGTAAGTCCAAGTGAAGTGTACAATTAAATTCTCTTGGACAAACTTCTATTGTATTTTATTTTCTCCGAATAATTTGAAGTAATGCTTGGAATTTTGAAGATTCACTGAGTCTTACAAAGATTTGCAAAATTTTGCAAACCCTTAAGACGATAATTTAATAAACTTTATAACTCTTTCAACGACAATTGAAACAATCCCAATCCCCTGGATTACGACTATTTGCAGTTAAAGCTTATTATCGTATATGCTACTAAGTAGATGTTACTGCGTCCCCACGCGCTACACCGTTTCAGCATAAGACGTTTATGTAGTCTTGTAATCATTGGAATAAAATGGAGACATTTATAGAAGCAAAGTAGCATAATCCACTAAGTAGAATAAAGTCTCTAAGCTTTTAAACTTATTTTAAACGATATTGTCCTACATCGAATTCCTAAGACTGATTAAAACTCGTCGAACACCGAATAAAGTTCTAAGCTTCCAATGTTGGGAATAATCAAATTGTTACACTAGGATCCTCCGAATCACTAAATTTACTATAAAAAACGTTCGCTTCTAAGAAAATGAAGAAATTAAAAGTATGAAATTTGAAAAGTAAATTAACAACATAAACTTCTTTGTTGTTGCACACTTTATCTTTTCTCTCTGCTCTCTTCCTAATTTCACCTCATTTACGTGTTTCGAGGCAGTAAAAATGCAGATATAAATTGAGAACTACCAGGATGAACAAAGAAATTACATTTTACTAACAAGTAAGTGTGAAACTGTGAAAGTAGTCTCTTATACGATGAAGCATGTCAGATATGTATTTAAATAAGATTAATATCCACAGATATAATGGAAGGGAAGTGATAGTTCACGAAGTCATTTCCTGTAATAGAAGTATCCAACTTAACCAACATTGACTAAAATATGCGGTAATGAGTACAGCATCCCCGAAACTCTTCAAACTCTCAACGAAACCCCTGGAACGCGCCAACCCTCCTGATACCACTGAACTGCCCCACATCCACCAGTGCACTTGAAACTTCGTGGCGAAAGGTAATTGGACATTAAATATTAAACATTGAGTGATCCACGCTGAAAATCATTCACCGGTTTCGTTCTTTGAAGATTGTTCAACAACCTAACATATAGACATGTTCTTACGTAACATTCTGATATATTATGATTATTTTGTATCAGATTTTAAAGAAAAATACTGCAACATATTATAAGATACCCATGTTGAATTAATACGAGAACCTACCTAAATTTGCAATTGTTTCGCTTAATTTATTTTAATTCACAATTACTCACATTAATTGCAGACTTTTTGTTATATTTAAAAAGTGACATTTCAAAAATCTCAGTCGTGAAGTATTGGAACATACACAGAAGTACTCTAGATATGCATATGAAAGCTACTCTTTTTCGAAAGTATCGACAATCATCTCAAAAACTATAGAAAAAAATGTGTCTGAGTCTGAGAAACGATTCTTTGAAGAATCCGACATTTCGTATTATACAACTCGACGCGTCTAGAAAAATAAGGTGTATAGGTATTCAACACGTTATCAGAATATCAAACAATAATATAACTTTTCAGCAACTTTCACGATTATTAAACAATATTCTACAAAATTTCATCACGTTGCAATTTGCATAAGTAAAAAACATATTTCCGAGTCGTGTAATGGTTAAAATTCAATAACTTAATTCATTTAAAAATGATAGAACTTCTAATATTTTACTGATACGAAAATTAGAATGAAATGTGCATAACAGCCATCGCGTTAAACTGCTGTTTGTAGCCGAAAACACATTTTCGAAAGCTACTTCGCTAATAGATTCTAGTATTATGTCTAAACTGCCACTTGTGGAACAGGTACAGGATGTTCGATATAGTATACACAAGGAATTTACGTACCCTTACCTTGTTTAGGTACTTGGAGTAAAGAGGCGACAACCCACTGATATCAACCGTAATAATCTTCCCCGTAGTGTCCAACTTAACAGCGAACTGCTCGATGAGTGAACCAATGGGCTTCTCGTTCGGAGGTATCCTGCGAGCCACGCACATTAAGCATGAACCGATGTCCGAGGATTCAGAGGATACGTCACCGCTCTCCAGGCGATCACTATTACTTGGCAATAGAACTGAACAGATTTGCATAGACTCGTATTTCGATACTCGTTGCTGCTTCTCTTCCATAGTCTCTTCTGTATCATCGGGCGGCTTCACCAAGAAGCGGCAAATGAAGGTACGATTCCTCTGGGGCTGTGGCTCGTTTACGCATAAGCCTGGATTACACATAATATTCTCTTGATTAATATCTCTCTCAAATATTTCAAAGTGTTAATAAGCATTTAGGATACCCATTGTGCGTGTCGAATATATCACACCTATTTCGTAAACATATTTTCATCTATTTTAGCATACCGAAAAAATAGCTCGACGAGCTTTGATATCTTTAACCTTTTGCCTCACAATTGTGTCAGACTCGTAGCGAAGATATCTAATATGGTTCAACAAATATAAACGTCATTCAGTTTTTTTTAGTTCAAATGAAACATTATTTTTCTTAATAGCAATTTCTATGGTCTAAAGTAAATCTAGGCATTGGAAGAGCATGGAGTTTTTTGTTTTACTAGTGCATCATTAACGACAAATAGTTCTAATAAGTGCAACTGCGAAATTAAATCGTAGGGCAAAGGATTAAATGATAATTATTCCAGACTGTCAATATTGTTTTTGATTGTTCAAATTACATTATTTAATAGATGTCTCAATACTTGTGACGAGGTATCTATATGCATGTGCATTTGCATATATGATATTTGGGATTTTGCTTAACTCCTTTGCGACTACGAACGAGATATCTCGCGACTATTATCCTTCGTAGAACGTCGCAGATGAGTTATTCCGCGACCCAATACGGTTCGTATAACGCCACAGTCGAGTTATCTCGCGATACAGTCCGAACTTGTCCATGCCATTGTGCAAACGACATTGTGTCGCGGGATAACCCGTCTGTGACGTTCTACGAAGGATAGTAAATCGCGAGATATCTCGTCCGTGGTCGCGAGAGGGTTAAATCGAAATATTATTCGGTGTAAGTGAAAATAGGAAGAGGAGAGATCCAGTTATCACTTCAATAGTTTCGAAATTTAAAAAATAAATAAATGCCATGAAATTTATGAACTCCGTTTTTCTTTTTTAACACTAGAGTATGGTGTATCAATTCGTAGTCGATCGAGACATCGATTGCTTCGGGGAGCGTCAGGGCGTGCAGAGTTTCGTACAAACCACCGAACGCACAATTTATATAAATACCTTAGTCCGTGTATTATATTGTTAAAGAACACTTTTAGTTCATCCTGATAACCCTTAATGCGTTACAAAAAGATTGTTCTATTTAAATATTCGTAAAATCATTTTCACAACATGGAAACAGTAGAAATATATTTATTTCGTAAACTTAATAGCGAATTCTGAAAAACTTTATAGAACTCTGTAATAATTCGTAAGTTTCCAAAATTTTTTTAAAATATACTACATTTTATAATTTTTCAACATAATAATTCTATACTTGGAGGCTTCAATTTAGTTGCCGTCTAAAAGCATTATTTTTAAAAAAATTTAGAGTTATTTTAAATTTGATATTTAATTTTGATGGTGTTAGAATAAATGTTCGTCTTCTGGTCTGGTACGGTCAACTAAACGTCTTTGTCTATTAGTAATTGTTTCTACACGAAAGCATTAAATGTACATACGTATTTTATCACGAGATTCAAGTACACAGTTGAATAATGACGATCCTCTGACCTCAAGCACCAATATGTTCACAACATCTACGATACTCTGTTTCGCTTTACATTTTATACATTTCATAATTTCCATTACTATCGGAGGCATTATAATTTTCAAAGAAAAAATTGATAAAATTAACCATATAAAAATACTTAACAAGTATTTTTTTTATTAGACCATCATTTATATCGAAGGATTGAAAACAGTCATCGAAGATGAGGATGGAAAACGTGTTTAATCGAGTAACTAAACACTATTTAAAAAACATTTTTCGAGATAAACCACAACATAATTATGAAAAATACAATAAAAGTTTATTACATACTTGTTTGATTTTAGAACGCCTTTAAAGATTCTACTTCTTGTGAGAAATGGGAGAAAAATACAACTGTAATAATTTTTTCAAATACAAAATCGAAATTTCAATTTATATGTATGCATAGGTGGTTGAATACTTTTCACATACAAATGTATGCACATAAATATTAGTGTAAACATTCCATTAAAAAATTAATTTTAAAAAACATGTTTGTTATCTGTTGTTAAAACCAACATTTCTGGAATCTGTTTACACGAATTGACTTCACATTAAAAGTATACAATTGGTTTATTTCCAGGATTTTTCTAGCTCCAGCAGTTTCCAAGCAGATCAAAGTAACACACCCTCAGACGTAAAGATCGCTTTACCCTTCAATATAAATGACAGCCAGTAAAAAAATTCATGTCAAATACTTTCATAAGAACTACTTTCTACTAAAGTTTCATAAAAACTGGTGAATGTGGTTCGAGTACATTCCCATGCGACGGACATTCCATTTTCTGTAGACAGATTTTTTATCCGAATGATATATTTCCCCCATCTAGACGCCCTTGCCATCCAATATTATTAATCGGCAACGGTCGCACACTAGTGATTCGCAAGAAATGTGTGAGAATAAGAGATTCAAGGATGATGATAGGTCTGTATGAATTATGATCGTTGGAGAAAATGCGGTAACTTATAAAAACAGCTCAGATACAAATACTGTAACATTTTCTATTATTTCAAATTGCACACTTGGCACAACGAGAACTATTCAAAGACTAGTATTCAAATGTAAAAAATTTACTAATGTCTTCTGAGAGTCCAGAACCTGTTGGAAATTTGCAAAAACCAGATAATACACCTAGTCAAAAAGAGGATAATTATTTAGAGAAGGATTCTCCTTGTCAATTACCATGAGCATGAAATATATTGTCAGGATCATCATTCTGAACAATTTTGCCCTATACGTGTTACTATTGTTTGTTTCTATCTACCGGCTTAGTTTCCGACTATAGTCCCAAGAAATTGTTTATAAACTTAGATATTACATAGTTAGTAATATGTATCGTATTTCGCTTGTTGCAACAGACATATTACTGCTTATGTTTGGGTATTAACGTATTCCTTCAGAATGATGTCTTGTTAGGAGTTTACCAATAAATTGTTAAGAAACATACGCATGATGAAAATGTAATGAACGTTAAAATATCTATAAATCTATTCATAATAAAGTTACACGAATCCTTAGGCATATGTATTAATGCGTTAGTGGAGTTTTTAGTAGAACATGAAGTTATTTACGCTACGGATTGCGTAAAACGTAATAAAGATATGACATCTAATAGCGAACAATGAATGTTTCGATGTCCTAATAAATCAAAACAGGAAGCATATTAGAAGGCAGTGAGATTTTAAAATTAGTGCATTCGTTAATACATAGTTTAAATATACTCTTTTGCCAGGATAAGCTATATACTGTTTTATTGCATATTATATAATACTGCAACCTCTTCCCTCATCATCTTATTAATAAATTTCGAGGGGGGTTAAACACTTTTCTACTTTCCTCATTTTTATAAAATTGGGGACAACGTATATAAAAATAATTAATTTAATCGAAATGATATCGTAGCATCTGATTATGATAGAGTCATGCCAGTACTGATGGAACGTTGTTCTTAAACTTGCTAGCTTACAATACTTATCGAATGATACGATTATTCAATTATATTAATCTACTATCTGAATGTTCTGTTATTTGAACTTAGGGTCTCATAACAATAAATGGACTGGACGAACAAATTCTAATTAAAACGATTCAGTACGTAATCCCACACAATTGCGTATAATAAAAAATGTATGTAATTCAGCAACCAAAACATTATAAAGTTCATAAAATGTTCGGACGAACTGTCAGTCCTAGCGGTCTTTATTTAAATATGAAAAAAAGGGATTCCTTTATTATCCAAAAATTAATGTAATTGGACACTCCCCTATTAATTTCAATGGAAGAAATTTCACTGCAGATGCAAGATTTCATATACCATAAAAATATAATTACATGTGATTACATAAAATTTATATTTGCATAAAATTGTTTGTAAACTAAAAAGTGAAATAACGAATTACCACTTAATTCTATCGTTCAGCGTTTAATTATAATTAAAACTCTTTTATACATCAGATAAAAGAAAAGATTGAAATAATTTATTATAAACTGTTACTCAATTTAAATGAAGATACTGTTTTATGTCGTTACTATCATTAATCAGAACATTGATTCTCAGACCGTAGAAACTTATTACACTTTCAACATAATTACTGAAGTGCCAATATGTAAGCAAATTCAACAATTTGAATAATGATTTACGGAAAGAAAAATTTCAAGTCACATTTCTTATACTATGTGTGTTCTCGTGTCCAGTTAAACGTACACTATCATTCAAAAGTTCAAGAATATAAAAAGAAGTAAATGTGCAAATAATAAAAACAATTTATTTTTACCGAACTTCTGATTTACAAATGTTTCTCGATAATATGTAAAGAAAGTTTGACTATTCTATTCAATTTCTTCAAATATTGTTTATCTAAAATTTGTTATTCACCTTCAAAAAACTCATAAGCTGAATTTGAGAAATATAGAATCTCTGAGAAACGCATTTAAAAACTAAACTTCTTAACGGAAAAGTATAATAAACTTCTCCCATAGGCGGTTATTTTCGTTAAATTAACAAAGTATCATTCCTCTGAATATTAGTGACAAGTAATATTAATATCTACTTCGAACTTTCGAATGCTGTTGTATCCACACATTTAAACCTTATTAAAATTTGTATTTCAATTTGTTTTGCTAATTAAGGAACTTCACAAGCGCATTAGCATTTGCAAACTAGTCATTACATTTGCCAATGGTAGCTGCCACGAATCATTAGTTTATCATTCGTTAGGTAAATCGGAATAAATCTTGTGTAAGATTTCTCGTGTCGCAGCAAGAGATCGGTTGAAAAGTAAGCCGGCGAAGCAAAGCGGTGCCGATGGCGTTGCATTTCTGCTGCGCCTGGGATTTTTCAAACGCGTCTCCTTCCATTACGAAAGATAAATCTTTCCGTTGCTGAACTGCCGAAGCTCGTAACAAAACGAGGTAAACTGAAAGGCGCACGTGCGCGCCGCCCGGCAAATAAATGCTGAAGTTACATTATCATAACCACCCGACGCATACGAAACGCACTCATACATAATCGTTTTATCATATGCCCACGAGGCCCGAAGACGTTCCGTGTTCGACAAGATTTCATCTCAAAACATCTTCTAGACGCTCTAACTTCCACGAGGAAATAGGAGCGCACCGTATGACGCAATGAATCCTATTACCTGCTAGAATTGATGATCAAGCGAAGAAAAGAACGGCTATTAATCTCCTCAAAAACGAATTTTTTAGGTATAGACAGAGGATTTTAATTGATGATTCTAATTATACCCTATACTCTATACTATCTGTAATTGCTTTTGCCTTGGTTTGCAATTAAAAGGCAAGTATAAGAAAACATTTTTCTCAACGCATTTAATGTTTTACATTTTTTTAATGTCAATTCTGGTGTATATGTGAGATGAACTTTTAAAAGGTATTTCTTCAATCATTTATGCATGTTTCCTGTTTAACGTGTATACATATAGTGTCTTCAGTCATAATAATTTGAATTAGATATTATATCTTATAAACTTGTACACTACCTCCAACGCAAAAATTAATTTTCTATTTCCTTTTTATAATGTTTTTTACGTAAATTGCATAGTTGTTTAAAAACGAGATCTGGAGTGTTCTGCAAAATGTTCGAAAAATATTTCTCACGCAACAATACATCAACAAATAAATTTCACATTTAAGTAATAAAAAAGTGTGTGTCATTTTAATCAGAAAAACGTAACAAACACGACGGTGTAAGTTTCATTAATCAGAAGAATAATTGTATCTACGTTATTTTCATTGAATACATTGTAAAATAATTTTTTTATAATTTCGTACTTTCAATATATCAAATTTTGTTTAACTGTTAAAAAGTGAGTAATGAATAGAATAAGAGGAGAGGGCTGAAACTGTTGTTAAACCAAATTAGACTGGTGCTGAACCTTCTAATAGCTTGCCAAGTAAAAACATACTATACCAAGCTTTATCCTTCTATCCTAACTTGAAGGTTAATTATAAAAGAAATCGAATTTCTTTTTCACTTTCCTACTAAAAGTATGTCATATTGTAGACGCTAAAGTACATATTAAAGAATTGTTCCAAAGTTTTAATTGAAAAAATCAACAATAAAAAATATAAACGCTAAGATGTGGAGTTTTTATCAAGATTTAACAGTGACATTTTTTCTGGTCCAAAAAATGGAATGAGTTCGTAAAAGCAGAAACTGTCTATTAACAATACAATCGAAGAATTTATTAAATTAAGAATACATTATATATAAAAATTTTTGTTATACTGTGATCTGTGATTCGAATTGACCATAAATATATAACACGTGCAGACTAGATATATAGTAATTTATATTTTATAATTTGACCAAATTTCGTGGACTATGAATAAATTTATCCTATGTACGCACGCGCACACACAATATCTCACCTCAAAAATTTTTCTATAAATCCATGTTAAAGGTTGGCCCACATTCATACATAGATGACGTGGCAGGCAACGTGACAATGTAAACATTCATTTTAATTTGCAGTTAGATTGTATCTACCTAAAAATTATATTAATAACAGAATTTCAAATCCTTTTCCTAACAAATGTTAAAGGACAAAGTTTAACAAGGGATACTGTAACATATTTTGCATACCACTTGTGTATACAATTGTTTAAATAAAGTAGTAGTTTTCTCCGCAACTACTATCGGTAAATGTATAATAAAAAAATTTAACAAAAGTAAACATTGATAAAAAATGAACATAAAGCAATTATTAAGTACTTTGGTATGATAATGAAAATGTACACTCATACGGTATAATGAAGAACTATCGACAGCCTCAATAACAACATGACAGATTGCGAAAGATTGCACAAGTCGTTTCTGTAATGAAAGGAACAGAGTGATAATATATATGTAAGGTACCAACCTAATGACATAGGATACAAGCTCGGCGTGAAGGTGTTGTGGTCTCCATGGTGAATAATGTTATAAATATCCTTGCCAAGTACATCATCCTTCGTGTAATTTATATATTGTGTTATATTTTCCGTTACGTCCTCCACACGTCCCTCCGTATTTACAAGAAATAGAAAGCCATCTAGCGCCTGCAAAAAATACATATACATATTGATTAAGTTTTGGGAATGAACAATTACAAAATTCAGAGAACGCTCTTTTTTTTAAATAAAAGATAAAACCTTGTATTTTTTCAAGTTTAGTTAAATTTCTATAACTTTTCATTGTTTATAAAATAATATAAGATAAAATCCGTAGTCTGTTACTTGTTTATCACTTGTAGCAATAAACCGAAGACAAGTTTAATTATTAAAGTACCAAATACTTCATTTTCTCATTGCCATTATAAACAACTACGTGTACACTGCTATTCATAAATTTGAAACAACAATAAAAAAAACCTTAGACAATTCTATGATGGATTTTTTATTGTATTTTCATCCTATATTGTTTGTTAAAATTTTCTCCTTAATATATTTAATAAAATATGTATATATGTGAAGGAAGATTTACATTATCTAACAAAAAAAATGGTCTCTCAAAACCTTAAGGAGCGAGGTAAGAGTGATTCGGAATGGATAACGACGATTTCATACATTCTGATTATTGCTTAATAGAATATTAAACATACAAAGAAAGTTCATTTTAGACGGCAAAGAAATTTTGTTGTAATACTTCGTCTTAATAATGAATATCATTGACTCGGACCACTTTAGTGAATTTCGACTTATAGCTGAAATATATGAAAATATAAATATATAATATTATTTATCTTTTCTTAGTAAACAATTAATTACAGTAAAATCTTAAGTAAGTTCTCTACACGTAAGATTTACAAATTACACGAAATTCAAATAAATAAGTTATTCCCTTAAAATTGTATTTAATACAAAAACTAATAATTTTAATAACGTTTACTCATAAGTACATTGGCAAATACGGTGACCTGTGTAATTCCAGAACGTTATATGCAACGACCTGATATTTAAAAAGTTTATTACTATACAATAAGGCGTGTAAAATGTTTAAAGTCATTAAAGATTCACTTAAGTATCTAATACCTCCTTCTGTAACTTAGAATTATTAGATTGAATTATTAGAAAGAAATTAATGGAAAACAATTCCTTTTTTTATTACAAGTGAGTGCCATTTTTCTTCTATTGTTGCTTTTAGATGATGCAATTGTTCATAATACTTTTCGAAATAAACAGTGTGATTATAATTGAAATCTGGTGTACTTTTTTATTTTTTCATTTTACCGAAAAATTTGTAGAAAACATAAAACTACAAATTCCATGTTCTAATGCAAACCGATGACATTTAACAGGCTCTGTTTTTCATTGATTCGTACAACGTTGATTAAACTTATGACCGTATGACGAATAAAACCACGGTCCAACACTATCGCTTTCTTTGGCGCGTTATTTCACGTGTTCGAGAAAACAACCTGACTTGGCATATATCAATCTCTATTTAAAGGAGAGTCTATCATTTACAGTAGATTTATTACGCCATGCGACGCATTCTTCCTCTCACGGACATCGTCTTACAATTCATTTATACTAAACACAAAAGCAAAGTATCCATTTTAAATTAGCCAGCACTAGCTAGCCTATCTAATTTAGTTGAATTATTTCAAACATGTGGCAACAGAAGTTATAATAAAAATATTTAATCTTCTTTCTAATGTTGACTAATTATGAAGCTGTTTAATCAAAGAGCACATAAAACTTGTATTGGTAATACTGAGGATACTCTTTATAGAATACTTAAAACCGGATTTTAAACCTTGAACATTGGATTTCATACTACATCGTCTAATAGGATTTTGAAAACATTTTATATCTGAAAGTATCTATGATCCCTGAGAAAAAATACAACTCCGAAACATAGCTATCTTAACACTAGGTTTACGGAGCGCGTCAATGTGACGCGTACTGAATTTTATAAACACTATTTAGTGTATGTTTACGTCGACTTTGATTTATGCAATAATACCTGTATGTACTTCAATTATTATTTTGTAAACCCCCACCTTCCAAAATTCGAATGGACGGACATGAATTTTTCTAAGAACAGTAGAATAAACCGTACAATAAATGTTCGTAAACCTAGTATTTATGTATTATACGCAGTAATAAGAAATCCACTACTTCTCTTCACAATTTAACATGAAATTTCGTTGCAAAATATCAGAAATCTATGGTATTTTAATCCTCGAATGGTGGGTCATTTACTAACGGACTTCACAACGAATATAAGGTACATTCGAATCCAGGGTAGTCATCCCATATTTATCTAATCTGTATATTTCTTTCTCATGAAACGTTTACAGACCGAGTACGCGTGACGTATTCTTTGATATTGAAATGCACTGCATAGTGTTAACCACAGTGTATGGTGTTAAAACATTAACCACGCGTAATTTTCCTCAAACACTATCAAGTGATATTCGTTCTATTATGTATTATATTAATAAAGAATATTTCCATAATTTGCATATAATTTTTAATTTCTTCTACTTCAATATCGTTGATGAAAGTTAACGACTGAACAAACTTCCATGCATAATATTATCGGAACAAATTCAAACTCTAGTGAAACAGTATTCTATGTGCATGAACCTAATATACAATACTTTCAGATTAGTACGAACTCGTTACACATGTAGAACACGTACGGTTATACCTTGTAGTATACGGGTAACGCAATGCGGACACGGGTTCGGATGCACCTTGCATTCATCAAGCAAGGGTTAAAATGACTCATTCCGTTTCAATATCCTATAAACAGTATCCACTTCACTTGATAGGCAAGAATTGTATTTTGATTCCGGTCTGAAGAATGAAATTTTAATCGCTTGAAGATACGCAATTAATCGGTTAACTGCGTTTGACGAGTACACGCGTCATCTTAGAACTCAAAATGATACTAATATTTTCAACAATGAATTAGTTATATTTGCAGATACACACGTAATTCTTCTCCGTTTTGTTTTAGTTTTTCGTCAGAATATATTATAGGTACGCTTTTACTGCGTTTGACGAGTATATACTACATACATTGCTTGACTTTATTGTGCACACAATGAGATTTTTCAATTTGAATTCCACAGTTAACTGATTAAACAATAAGACAATAATAACTTCTGAAAGCATTTTAGTAAAAATATATCAATCTCGTCTATTCTAAGTACATTATTAATGCTTTACTTAGCCCCGTGTTATATGATGAATGAAGTTCGTGATAAAAACTTCTAGCTAGATGTAACAAAAGTCAACGTTATTTGTGGTATATGAATTGAAATAAAAGATTGTTTGTTATCAGTGTTTTGCCATTAGAGTAATCGCACACTTGTAATAAACAGAAAATTCCTTTGCATTCTTGCAAGTTATTGGCAGTAAAATAAATTTGACGAGCATAATTTCAAAGAACATCGTATGGCAAAGGGTTAATACCACTATAAAAGCGAAGAATGTACAAATTAAATGATATAACATTTTTGCGAAAAAGCGTAACTGATTTGTACGAGTATAAAGAGTTATCTAATTAATACTGTTTATAGTATTGCTCGATCAAATTGTCAATTTAAAAATTTTTTAAATCCTGCATTTTTTTTCGTTCATTTAACTTCATGCCGATTCTTATATTATAAGATCAATCAGTTTTTCACTTTTTGCTTTCCTTTCTGTATTTTTTTCATTGAGAAATATTTATTATCCGATTTATTTACTTTTATTTCATAACTAACTATTTGAGTAGACATGATAAAAATAAGTACATGTAAAATAATTGTACATTTAGTGTCAACTTGTGAAACAGAAATAACAAACACAAGAAATAAAAAGTTCGTTGTCGAAAATGATCTTTTTGAAATTAATTTTATTATTATTGGAGATGTCTTCGTCATAAGATTACTAATAATAAATAAATCTGAGTACGAATACCAATTTGTGTTATACTTTGTATTCAGATGAAAGAAGAATCATTAATCAAGTGGAAATGTTTTTCTCATGAAAACGCGGCTAAACGTCTGATGAAACATACAAATCTATCAAAAGTCACTTTTTAACATTTTAACTTAAAATTATTTTCTCAGTTTAACCGCTTCCCCTCAATTGAATTTTGGACATTTCCTATAGTTAATTTTATAACCGTTACTGGAAAAATCGAAAAGTCAATTCAGAATAAACGAGTAAATTCGGAAAATAATTAGTAAGTAAGTGAAAATTTGAAAAGATGTCTGTTGACCGACCCTTCGGTAAAGATAGTGTTAAAAACATGCACTTGTACGCCTTAGCGAAAACCATATTGTCAACTAGTAAGTGGTGGCCTCGATCAGCAGCGGTAAATAAAGTATTAAGGTTTGACAACTGTAAAACAGTGACTATAAGAGAATTAACCAGTCAACTGCGTTTGACGAGTACACACGTCACCTTAAAACTCAACATACTACTGCTCCTTTCAACGATGAATTATTCATTTTTTCAGACAAAACTGTAATTATTCTTCATTTTGCTTTAGCTTTTCATTAGAATATATTTTAGGTACATTTACCCTGAGTTTGGAACTACACACTTCGTTCTTTGATTCTACTGCGCGCGCAATGAGAGATTTTTTAAACTAAGTTCCACAATTAACAGGTTACATAGAAAGTGGATTAGATATTACGCAGAAATATGAAATAATTGCTATGGATTCAAATGAACCTTATTCCCGCTATGTACTTGATTCTAAATTATCCACCATTCGGAAGTTAATATTTTGATTTCAATGCCAAACTCATAGAAACAATCGTTACCACTAATTGATGTACATATACAGGTTAGAATTCGAATGTTCCAGAAACAGAACCTTAGCTAAATGTCATTCTACAATTTTTATTTTAAATTATCTCTCGGCTATTGCACTGTACCTGCCAGTATTTATCGTAGTTATATAAGAATTAGTATTCAAATTCGATTTTCTCGGAAACATTTTATTTTACGCTTTCAACTATTTCTTCTAGTGAAAGTCACCCTTCTCGGTTTGACAACCAGTTATAGCGTATAAAGTGTTCGGTAACAGACGAAAGAAAAGAATTTTATGATTTTCAAGTTATTTACAATCGTTTATTACCCGTCCATAACGGCGCACGAATTAACCTCTTCAGGGCCGAATTCTTCTTGAGAACAGACACAGATGATTCTGGTTTTCGTTTGATTACAGTTTATTTTGTTACAACTGACACGAATTGGACAATACGAAGGCGGACGAAGGCATTTATGAAAAACATACGTAGAAAAAGGGAAGTGTCCGTGCGATGAACGTTAATGTTAGACTAAAATCAAATGTACACATATGTGCCAGTACCCTTGAAGAGGTTAAAATCTTGTTCCGCCAGCACACTACTCCTAACGTACGTTACCGTTAGTAACTTATAAAAACTTATAACCGTAAACAACTTGGAAACGAAGCCGAAATTGCAACTCTTTTGCCTTTAATATGCATGTTATATCGTCATTAAAAATCGACCTTTAAATTTGTTACGACCTGTTGCTAAACAAGTATACGTATAATTGTACGCATTCCAATCTTTTATATAAATCTACTGAGCATTAGAGGCCACTTTAACTGCGCAACTTAGAAGAAAAGGTAAGAGACTGGGCGGACCAACACCTATTTCCCTCGCGTCTCCCCACCACAGCAAAACCAACCCCTTATGTTTAAAGATTTAGCGCTGCAGGAGCCCGTGTGAGCACGAGTGAGTTCACAGCATGGTATAATACAAAGTTGACAATAGGTATGTGGGATAAAACTGGCGTTTAAGGGTTCTACCATCATTGAAAGTTCAATAAGCCCTGTCTTCTGTTACACGTATCTATTTTGCTTGTTAGTCATCCAAAAATCGGTCGTTAATCATAAAAAACAATCACGTCTATAAATCGAATTCCGTAAAATAGCGCTACAAAAAGCTACTAATATATCAAAAATGAACAAAGCTTCAGTCCGGTTATATCAGTTGATTTGTCATCTGTTTCTACAGTAGAAAAACCACCAATTAAATATTTACGAATATTGAATGAACATCTTTTTATACCGATCCAGTTTAAAAGAAATTTAATTTATAAATTTCTTTGTGTCGCAGTCTAGCATTGTTGACTCCAATTGTTCATAGTCTGCAATGATCTAGACACACGTGTTCAATGTTTCATAGCATACTTGTACTCCACTCGAATACACTCGTATAAATCAAAATAATTTCTCAAATGTATGAATCCATTATGAAAAAATTAATTCGTACCTCAAGTAAAATAGGGCCAACTTGATCGTTGGACAGTATGTTACGATTCGATGAAGACACTTCTCCCTGTTGAACGGCATGACTGTTCGAGCCTTCCTGTTGCCTAATGTGCCGAATCTATAGGGAAAAAAAACAGAATTAGAATGTTAACAAAATTCGTATACTAAAATTACTTAATTATTAAAATAATAAAATAGTGCGTTGTAAATGTTGATTGCTGTAACAAATATTTCAATTTTCATTATTAACGTAACGATAGACCCAGTTTAATAAAATATATTATTATACATATTTGTTTTTCCCTAAGCTATTACTTTGAAGACAGTTATGTTATCCTTATGAAACAGTTCATTTCCTTTCGTCACCTAACTGTTACTTACCATTTATTTTAGTTTAAACGCAGGTTTAAAATATTAATGAAAATTCTTCGTACTGTTATCTCTTTTATTGATTACCAAACAATAATGAAAATAGGGTTCAGAATAGATAATCGTAATCTAACTAGTATTTCCTTTAATTTAAAATTAAGTCATTAGATATACTAATGTCTTCGTTATTTTTAATGTACACATTTAAAAATATGTTTCTTGATTCGTAAACAACTTACACCATTTTAATCGAATGCGTGTAAGGAAAACATAAATTGAATTTGCATTACACACTCATATTATTAGAAAATTCATGTATTTTCGTTACGTTGCGCAATCTTAAATTACCGTTAATTATACGACAAAATAAATCGTATTTATCTTTCACATTGCATATTTATTTTGATATCAACATAAATGAAATAATCGAAAGAAAAGCCGCTTAACCAATGATTTCACCGATCTCATTCGTAAAAACTTAATAACCATTGAATAATATGTTTTATATTCAGTCGTATAACAATCCTCAACCGCTTCAATTTCACTAATTCGTTGGAATATCGTGATGCATATTCCATTTATTATCACGTGCCTTGATGTATACGAATTGCATTTAATCTGATGAATCCTTTAAAAAAATCGCATTTTCCTCGCCCCTTGTTTTGATATGAAAAATTATCCCATATTTATATCATGATAAATGCAAAAATAATAGCACGCAACACAACCGAAATTTTATGGTCAGCATGTAATTAAGTGTGGAAATATTAGCATAATGTAATGAAAGTCATCGAACGTGGAAAATATTACCATAATGTAATGAATGTTATCGAACGTTTACATCTAATATAATCCGCATTAATGCACGCAGATATTACTAAACAATATGTATACATCTTCCTAATTACTTTTATAATTGAAAATATAATTAACTGTGAGTAGTTATCATAATATTACATGTACCAACAAATAATCCATAGACTGCAGATATTTATACATTTCTAACACATCTGATGATGCAAAACATAGTGAAATAAGTATTATAATAAAATTTCATAAAATCTATAAAATTTACCAATTTCGATGTACCGAAACGCTATAAAAAATGTAATTTGACGTTGAGAATTATTGGCGATAAATAGTGCTACGAGAATTATTTTAGTTTCTCTATCAAAAATAAAATCGGTGTTGTAATCTTCTTTAATCATTTCTTGATAAAAACCAATTTTGTTTTATATTTTTTTTCAAACTATTAATTCTCAAAATACCCCCAAAATTAGTGTGCGACGAATCATCATTTCAGAATTAGTTTAAACACTGTTTAAACATATTAAAATGATTATAAAATTATAAAAATATTATTTTATACGAGTGTACCTATTAAATTATTTTTTACAAAAATAACGCAAAAAATCCTTATATTTGAAAATGTTTTTTCTCAAAATTAAATTCTTTAAAAACTATATTGCTTATTACAATATAAAATATGTGTTGGAAAACGTAATTGACGCATAAATGTTTATACAATATCGTTGTACAAACCGATTTATAAAAACAGGTAATACATAGAGATTACTAACGCAATGCACTAAGTTTTGTTAATTTCAGTTTCTTACTATAATTACTTGAAAATTTGCAGAAATACCATTTAAAGACATAATTTGAAGTTAATTATAAATTGCTATATTATCGTCATTATTTCGTTCGCAATGCAAAAAACCTAGCAGGAGAAGAAATAATCGAATGAAACTCATTACTACCACGTATACCTGTTCTATAGTACATAATTACTGTATAATTAAGAATGTAACAATTACATGAATACAAAAGAATATAATAATACGAAATAAGAATACCATAGAATAGGTAATTATGGAAATACATTCCTATCTAATTATCTATAATAAGTGTATTTCAATATTTTTACTAAACAATATGAACTGTAATTGAACATATTCTATTAAACTATTGCATTTTATTAAATAAAAATATATATTTTATAGAATACCATTTCATTTAGTTCTAATGTTTTGTTACAACAAATATTTACAAAAACAAGATATTTTCCATTTACTTTATGTAAATGGTAACACAAGATATAGTAGATTAAACTTTATTAATTGTTTAATCGTTATAGTTCCAAGAGCAATCAAACTAGAGCGAACAGGTTGTCTAAACATTACGTCGGCGCAACATGCAACAATATTAATACTATTTCTTCCAAAGATGTCAAAAGACACCTTTCGAATTGTTAACTTAAAATTATTTTTCAAGTCTAATAGTATATTCTGAATGGAGTTTTCGACTTTTCCAAAAACGATTATAAAATTACCTATGGGAAATGTCCAAAATTCAATTAAGGAAGAATAATGAAACTGAGAAAATAATTTTAAGTTAAAATTTTGAAAGGTGTTTTTTGACACCTTCGGTAGAAATAGTATTAAATAATAATTCATTAAGAAACAAAGGATTTTCTAATACTTAAATCCTATTATTAAGCTCCTTCTTGTTACATTACTTCGTAACTCAATACAAACCTAAAACGCGCAATAAAAAATAAAAGCACATATACAAAAATGTAACAAAGTAAAACACCAATCAATAAACAAATTATTATCTTGATTCTAATGAGAAAAAGTATGGGGAAGCTGGGAAAAAAATACTGAATTCTAATTATCGATGAAAAATTTTTGAACTTCGCATGAATCTCTTAATTCTACCACTATGATTGGTAAATACTGATAAATGTTTCAGTTGATAATCCACATTCCGTCGCCTTAGAGATAAATGAGTATAAGAAACTTGCATCCGTTCTACCTACCAGAAATTTCAAAGAATTACTCATCAGCCGTTTCGTCGCAATACTAATGGCCGAATGGAGTCGTATACAATTTCTCGATAGGTAATAATAAAGTATTTCATAAGCTTAACGACGTTGAACAAATACATCGAGTTTAATACAGGTACTTCAATTGAATTCCTAGTGCTTGCTTCGCATTTTATTAAATTGTTATATTATTTAATTTCTTAAGACGAACTTTTTGAATTTTAGAATAATCTTTTGATACATTATGAATACTTCTATAATATGGTACACCAAGGATATGAAAAAGAAAGTAAATAAACATTGGTTTATAGAAATCTGCATTAAAAATGATAAAAAAATTACTGAAATTAAGATGAAATTTATTGTATTTTATAACAAATAAAATTATTATTTTAATAAGACGTATTAGTCAATGGAAATTCTATTTTGTCTGTCATTTATCTTTTTAGTGGCAAAAGAAGAATAAAATCTTTGCAATATTAATGGCTTAACCACGGTTACAGATATATATCTATATACTCTCTCTCTCTCTATATATATATAGTAGTAAAGATATAATATATCTTTGTGTTCCATAAAATTATATAAAACATTTTTCCAATGAGTACAATGAAATACAAAATTACTTAAATTACGAACTCGAAATAATTCTATTACGTTAAATATGATTTTATCTATAAAATACAAGAAAACAGGAATATGCAAATGAACTTTGAAATCTTTCCAGCTCCAAAAAAGCAGCAAGCAAGTAACTCATATACAAATTGGTACATTGCTGCATTGAAGTACTGTATAAACCTACAAAGTGAAGAAATTGTAATATTTGGCTTAACGAAATTCTCCGATAAGGGGAGTACTGTAACACCTATACTAATTGTAATTCTTTATCTTTCACTCGTCACTTGAAATGTTTTTCTAGATAAAGAGTCAACTCATCTCTGTCGACTAAAAATGATACAATTGCTAACGAATATATTCGACGCGGATGTGAAAGGGAAAAAGCGTAAACTCTTCGTGTTGCCATTCAGAGTTGCAAGGTTAACCGTGTAAGTGGAACGCAAGAGGAAAGTAAATCTCTGCGTTACCGGCCGAGATTCACAATCGCGCGGGGAAAGCACGTCCTTGAGCTCATATTTCCCGGCACCGATAGATCGCGCTCGTAATCGGAATGAATTGAAGCGCACGGGCACACGACGTGCCGTGGCCTCGAAAAGTCGGTGACTCGGCGCGGCTGAGTCCGACAAACGGTTTGCGACGTTGCCGCTAGCCTCTGCTTTAAAGCGTATATATTTCTCTCCCGTCCTATCGTGCACATCGTACACGATAAATTCTTCTCCGATCACTTTCAGAACTGTTAATGTCCCCGTAATCAACAGCACAGTTTGCTACGATGGAATCAGAAACTAGTTGACGATTAAAATAATAAAGATGCACAAGTAACCATAATATTCCAATAACGAGAAATTATTTAATTACCGAAACGTCTAAATCTACCGTAAGCCGATTAAATCGATATTTCTTATAGATCGGTCTGACAGAATGTCGAAAAATCAACGGCTGTTCGAGTCCACGCGACTCGATTGGAGAGGAGAAAGATTTCGTTGCAAAATTACAATTGATTCTACCTCGGTCACGTCGTTGGACACAGGATGCGCGTGGCCCTACTGCGCAGATGACGTCACACGAACTCTTGCTCCGGTAGCTCGGGTTATAACGCTGTTTGGAAGGTTTCCTATTGGCCTCGGTGACGTCATTAAAGGTCACGTGACAACTCTCAAGAAATACTTTTTTTTTTTAATGATTTCCTTGTCGTCTGTACAGTATTCGTTTGCGGGGGCAGTAACGTCGAGTACACGGAAAAGGATATCGGTCCTCGCTTCTCGCATTCGCTTGTGTTCTATTCGCTTCTCAACGCGACCGTAATCTTTCGGACGGGAAGAAAGAAGAAGACGAACGAGAGAATATCACGATCCTAGCGCGAAGAATCGACATGTGCTCGTTCGTGAACCGCAGAACTAACAACGTGCAGAGGTACAGACGGGAAGTCCGAGCCCCTTCCACGCGCCCTCCTTCTCTGTCTATGGCTCTATACGCAGGCACACTGCTTGCAATTAGACGTCAGCTCGAACCCATTATTGTTTTCGGCATTTTCAATAAACCGAACGTATCTTGTGTCGTGTTCTTTCTTCAAAATGAACTTAATATGTCATTACGAATATGTATACGCTGCAAAGATTGACACAAAGTACTCGGTTAGTGAAATTTTAAAATACTGCCCGCCATTTTTTCGATACAGCGTAAGTTTTCCGGGTAGATACTTATTTATTAATGTATCTAACAGTACTATTAACAATAAAAGGGGAAAAATGAATACAGCAAAAAATAAAAATAATAACATGGTAATGATACATGAGGTCAGGGTTCAGCAGCAACAGACGCTGTTTACTAAATCCACTCCGAAGTTAAAGACGCAATATAATACCTTAATGCACTTATCAGCTGCTTTACAATTTTCATTGTTTTCAGCCGAACTGATAAGTTACATTTAATCGTTCGGCTACTGATACATTACCTCGAATCTATTTTCACTGCGAATCGAGATAAGAATAAATGTTTTTCTACTTTATAATCCGACCGTCTCACACAGTGGGACCGAATGCTCGTTTTCTGGACAAAACTCGATACTTAAAAGGTATAAGCAATACAAAAAAATACTTTAGACAAAAGTTGTAAGGTATAGAGCTAAGCATATCGCGGTTACATTTTTTTTACATTTCGAGATGTTATGCAGTGTTTTAAATAACAAAATTAAAATTTCAACTATGGACTCATATTTTTCATTTTGTATTCTTTCAGATGATGTTGAAATGTTTTCAGAGCACCCAATTATATGATTTTTATGTAATTACCGAGTTATAAGGGTTCAAAGTTATTGACTACAAGAACATTGTTGTGTGCCTGCGGACATAGAGTACGTTTCGCTTTGGAAATTTCTCATTACTGGTAATTAATTAATATTTAACGAAACACATTAACGTATTTCAAAGACTCTGGAACATTCTCGGTTTTCACGTAAAATATAAAATACATGATTATTCAATATTTAACAAAATACATCTTGAATTCACAAATATTTTTGTTATTATTACTTTTACCCTGAAAGAGAAGAATCTTTAAGATGCCCTTTTCACCTTATAATATTGGGGAAATCTTTCTTTTAGGGTAAAGGGAACGATGAAAAGTAATTGGGGATAATGACTAATCATCAGCTTTACCGTACCAAGGATTAAAAACGTCCCAAAGTAATTAGGGTTTTATGATGGTATTGTATGGCGAGTCGACGGCAGTAATCCTAATAGAACACAAAACAGACCGGTACCAGTTGTACAAATGGCGAAGATATTGAAATTATCATTGTTATAATACTGCTTTACTAGGTAGATCAATATAAACAAACTGTTTTCGAGGAAGTTAAAGAACTTCAAAAAATCATAAAACAGTAATACATGAAAGTTACAGATATGTTACTGGCATTTGCAAGGATTTAACAGATAAATTTCACTTCATCTTGAAAGTTTTATCTGACACATGTATAATAAAAAAATACATTTAATGTCTTCTTAAAACACACTTTAAATCTCTATTTAGATGAGTTCAGTGTGGATAAGATTTTAAAATACGACTGTGATGTAGTAAGCACGTTTTTATATGGATTTAGGTTCCTTTTGTATAGACGTTTAAGAAGCCAGTCGTAAAGCGGCTGGCCGGATACCTAACCAAACCTATTCCACTGTTTCCTACGGACTTTCGATTCACTGTTTTCAATTCAGAAGAGAAACAACAAAAAATCACAAGATAATAACTTATCCGAAATTAAAGTATATATCATATTTTTAGATGGCCATTAAAATTCTCTGCACCCAGCCACTCGTAACTTGCAAATTAATTTCAGTAAAACGGACAAAGAGAATAATAAACAATTTAAAGAGAAATCCGTAAATTTTAATATTAAGCCAATTTACATGAACCGTAGTTTATGGTAGTCCTTTTTACATGAGCAGATTAAAACTCGGTGTTTTTTTATTAATGTTACTCTGAAAGAGAAGAAGCTTTAAGATCTCCTCTTCACCTTGTAACATTGAGGAAATCGTTCTTTCAGGACAAAGCAAGTGATGAAAAGTAATTGGGAATAATGACGAATCATCAGCTTTACCGCACCGAGAATTACAAACGTCGAAAAGTAATTAAGGTTTTATGACGGCACTGTATGGCGAGTCGACCACAGTAATCCCAGTAGGGCAGAAGGAACTACGGTTCCACCATACACTTCTTTCTCCCTGATACCTCTGATAGTCACACTCATAATGTGTCTGAATACATTATTCATAGTTTTCAGAAATATAATATCCACCCAATAAAAAACCACGAAAATCATAACATTCTCAAACGTTCCATGTTTTGTAAGCTAATATTAGCTACTGGATATTTTGTGTTTCAATTCCAGTGTCATATAAATAAAGGAACAAAATTCATTTGTACAAAATTATGTGAAATCAGATCTACATGATCCGGAGAATATTATCCATGTTTAAAAATCTGTACAAATATATTTAAGAATGAATACAAAGTAAAAATATAAATACGTAGTAATCTCGGAATGTCTAAAGGGTAATGTTTGAGCGTGTTAAACAGTGGTTATTGTTCATTAATTTTTGAAATAAAACTCATTTTGTATAGCAGTGACTAGTTAGAAACAAATTGGTAACCTTCAATTTTCGTTATGTGAACAGTCGATTTTTGGAAGTTTGTCCACAAGCGTCCGCACTGTGCGCCTGTTCGCTTCCAAAATAAACATTCCCGCTAATTTCAAGGAACGCCTGGAACATTGGCACGAATGTCCAATTTTCACTGGCGTAAAAATTCAAAAAGAAAATATAAATTTGAAAATGAAGAACGACGATTAGTGGACAAATTACCGATTCGTTAACCCATTTGCATCATTAGCGTATACATATGCTCAAATTTCCTGGTCAATATCACCGGGGCGTATATACACTCGAGTTTGTTGGCCATTATCACAAGAGAATCAAGTATGACGTTATATTTTCCGTTAGCTAGAAAATAAAAATATAGAGTGTTAAATGAAAGTAGTAATTCTGATTAGTATTAGTCCTTTTTAAGCGTTGTAATTTTTCTGGCGAAATAAAACTAAAAAAAAGAATTAGTGATAACGGCCTTCTTTTTCATACTTCCTTATGATGCGATGAAAATTCAGGGGAAGGAAGCGTGCGATTTTGTACGATTTGATCAGTACAGTTTCCGCGGCTCGCGAGGCTGCTGCACTCAGCTGTTCCTCGAATGTTCGCGTGTTCCGACGTCTAGTGCGAATTTATGTGCGCTCTGCGCCATCCTCGTCGCCTTTCGCGGTGAACAGAGATACGACGAAACGAGTCGAACAGAAACGGAGACAGTGTCGTCGCGCGTTATCGTAAATAGTGCCGAGCGGAGAGTCGGTCATTTCCATGCGTCCCGAGAAAAATGCTTCGTTAAACCGACCCGAGTAAAATGTTATTGGGCGAAGAAGAATGTCTTCTTCCGAGCGACGAGACATTCTCCTTATCCCGGACAAAAGTTATTTTATCGATATATATATATATACGTACACACGGTATCCCGTTTCTTTCCAGAAATAAATTTTCGCGCGTGAGTGCATTTAACCTCTCCGTAGAGACCGCTTTGTTCGACGTTCTCTTTCTGCTCTCCTTTTTTTCCTCCTCGGCTTTGACGGTTGTTGTCTTATCTTCTCTTTCGTTTTTCGTCGATGCGTCCACCAGGAGAAATTCATTTTCTAATTCCGTTGATTTATTCGCGGGGCCGCTCACCGACCGAGAGAGATTTATCTTTTTATTTCGAGCCACATTTCATTTTCCGAGAAACACAAAACCGTCCCCGTGATTTACAGGAAAAAATCGGTCGACTCTCACCTCAAGGATCGCGCTCTACGGTTTTTTAGAGATCGCATAGGCGTAGCATTGCCATCCTTTAGCAAATTGAAATTGAAGGAATATTGGCGAGAATGAAATGTTTTCGACGAAACACGGGTATTTAACCCTTCGAATGCTGTGGGCGCATATGTGCCATATAATATAATGCTATATAAAATAGCTTTGTTCCTCAATTTAAATGCAATTTCTGGTCAAATCGATTTCAGAAAATGTCTATATCTCGTTAGAAAATGTTGAGTATTTCTAGTGAAAAACGTCTGAAGTGTATGTGATTAATACACGTGTTTCTTGGCATTATTCAATTTGGTGAAACTGAGGAATTACAATCTCAATGTAATTACAACTTAATTAATTCTATGAATTAACATATAGTTTATCGATTTTTAGATAAGCAAAAAATATTCCGTCCACACAGAACGTTTCAGCAAGAAGTATACAGTATTCAAAGAGTTAACTGCACTTAATCTGTCAGCCATAAACAGAGATCCCTGTGTAGCACAATTTTCCTTTATCTTTGCAGCATTTTCTGACTTTCCGGTAATTTAACCCTTTACACACGGAAGCCTTTCATTAAAAATATTCAACAGTTTTCAAATGAATTATAGACGACTTTTTTTAAAACGAACTAAATGAAAGAACATGCATAAGTTAAGAAACGAAGTTATTATCTCAATATTCTACATATTTATGAATTACACGAAGCTTAACATTATATATAAGATTTTATAATGTTGGTACACCAAATGAAATGGTGACTGAGAGTCACCTGCCGAGTGCAAAGAGTTCAAATGTTTGTGGTACCTATGTGTACTATTTGGGACAAAGAGGTTAACGTGGTAACAGTCGCGTAATTAAAGGATCACGTTTTTTACACGTAATCCTTTGCCTTCAGCCTACGTTATGCATGAATTATTCTGCACAATATCTACAGAAGCAAATATGCTCGCTGCTTAGAAACTGATAAGGGCAACTTTATTTCGTCAGTAAAATAAAATTATGTAGTTACATATTTACATCATTTATGTATAAATGAAATGTACTTATGTAGCTTTATTACGAAGAAACATCCTTTTATTACGAATTACGTGTCAAAAATGAACATTTCAATTTTCTAAAAGAGGCTTTGAAATCATTTACCATATTACATGTATTCAAATGATATGATCGAAGTTAATATTTTAGAAGGAGGCAATGTAAAAAAGTAGTATGTACAACCGTACAAAAGTCTATTAACATTTAATACTGTTTCAAATAAAAATTCACGAATCATTCTTAATCCTTTGCGTACTAATTAAGTTACTTCAATCCACAAATAAATCTTTGTTTTTAACGCCCCACTTCGCATTATTGAGGAAAATATACGGTCAACATTTTAACTAAAATTTAACACATATGAATCCCATGTAATTTTTTTTAATGAAATATAAATATCATTTTTGTATATCAACGTTTAACCCGCATAGTAAACATAGATTTATGATTAACATACTATACCTTTCCTGTCTAGCAACTTATTAATTATACAGAATAAAATAGGCACAATTATGGAGAAAATCACAAGACAATGGGTTAATTATATTTTATGATATAGAAGTAGTAGAATTTTCATATGAAAGATTTATTAATTTATTACTGAAGAATTACCTAAGGAAAGAAATCGAATATTTCTCCTACTTCTTTGAACGTAAACAGGAACAACGCGCAAATAAGAGAGGCTACAAACCACTGTCTTTTCATTGTACTCTATAGTCGCGAAACTGTTAAATGCATCCAAGAGAAGACGGAACGTGGTGTACAATGGTATCGCAACAATGTCTAACAGAACGTGTCGGAAAACTTCAATGAAAGTAAACCATATCTTTGTCAAGTCCTCTTGACTGGCACAGATGATTCTTTTGAATTCATGCTTCAAACCAAATACATGTTCACTAAATAAATGAATATTTTTATGAAACGATATAGTTTAAATAGGTGCAATATCGTTCCATTAAATTGCACGGTATTAATTTATAATTTAGTCAATAAATCGCAGAGTGTTTCGTGGTTGAACTTCGCTTTCGAACTGTCATCACTTTCTCAAAATTCAAGACTTTCGAATCAACCACGTCAAAACCAGGATACAACAGTAAATTTGAAAAATATTGTTTGTATTGTTTACAGTTTTGAAAGAAGCATTCAAAAATTAATCCCTTTATCATTGATTTTCGTTCTTATTTTTTGGTGATGATAAACTTGTAAATTTCATAATTTATTATATTTTACTAATGACTTTAAAATAAAGGTAGTGGGTGAAAAATTTCTTTTTCTAATAAAAATAAAAACTGACGCGAAGTTAGTATATAGTAATGTTCTCTAAGACGTTAGTAAAGCAAATACCTACAGATGCCATATCACATGAGCAGAATTACGTAAGCGTTGCAATCACAAAATGTAGGTCTGAATCGGCTGTGTGAATGTTAAGACAAAATAACTACCTATTTAATAAAATAATATTATTACAGAATCGAATTTTCCAAATTTTTACTGAGAA